GGAGTTGTCTGAATCCGCCATAACCTGACTATTTCGTCGTTGGTTAGCTCTGCGCAGAAGTCGAGCTCGTTGTCAGCATCGACGAACCGCTCAAAAGTTATTTCCGTGGGCATGGAAGCACCAGCAGAGCAGAGGTCGTTGATAATATCGTCCATGAGAGGGCACAACTCAGTCACGCTGTCGCTTTCTTCAGGCAAGTCTGTTGTCTCTGTGTCAAGTATGAAGCCCGCGTGGCTAAAGCAGTTGCGAAGTGTGTCTTGCGTTACTGCCTTCCATGCGTCCACAAGCATTCCAACAGCAGACCGAAGGTCAACGCTGTAGCCTTTCCCGTTTTCCGAGCACAGCACCATGCGGTTGAGTATACGTGAACGGTACAAAAGTTGATGATTATGGACAACGCCTTGGTCCGTTGGTAGGAGGATCGCAGTCGTGTTGGGCGGCATGAATTCCAACTGGATAGCCTTCAACTTATTGATGTGACCATGAGCAGCGCAGTTGTCAACGAAGAGCAGAACACGTCTGTTCTGTTGTTCAAACTTCCTGTTCAACCTGCGGACGTAACTCTCGAACAACTGCTGCGTTACCCATGCCTTTTTGTTGGCTTCGTATAACACTGGCAGCGTTGCCCCTTTAAAACACCTCGGGCTCTTCGACTTCCCGATTACTAACAGAGGAAGTTTCTCGCTGCCAGACATGTTGCTGCCGACAAAAACGGTCAGCCGTTCTTTGGTATGCTTGCCATCATGGCATGCGTCACCAGCAAAAGCGAGTGTTCTTTCCGGCAGCAGCTTGTAAAACAAGCAAGTTTCGTCACAGTTGAGAATGTTGTTAGCAGAGAACTGCTGCAACAAAGACTGGAGTTTCCACTGCGGTACTGCGCAATAACTGCACTGTCAACAACGCCGCTTTCGCCACACATCTTGTTGAACTTGAGGTCATTCCGATTCTTAAAGTTTCTCAGCCGCTCATCACTAAACTTAAAATCCGTAATGTCCATTCGAAGCGCGAGAGTTTCCGATTTTTGCTTCAAGATGCAGCCCGAGACTGGCAACCGCTTGGCAATCGTCGAATTAAGCCACACGACCAGAACGTCCTCAAGCTTTGGATGAACACCTTGGCTTGCATTCATTTTTTGGGCACTAGACGGTTTTTCGGCCGCTTCCAAGATCTTGTCTTTGTTCCTCAAGAAATTGGAAACTGCTTGGAAATGCCAAACTCCTTGCTCATGTTAGCCTGCGATCGTCCACTCTTCGCTAACTTGATAATGGCGGCTTTCTTCTCCATCGTTAACCGACGGTACTGTTTTTCGCGCTTCGATGTCATCAGCGAGGACGACGAAGGCGGAGTTGGGGCCATCGCAGGCAAGCGATATCTTCACGATGTGAACAAAGGAGTTTGCTATCGAGTGTCGAAGCACCTAGGCTTAGCGTTGCAGAGCACACTTCACACGATCGCACAACCACGCACTAGGAGGAGGAGGAGGAAGAAAGTTTAAGCGGAAAGACAGGGAGGTTAGCCAATTCTTAGACCGGCTGGCTATCCTGTGCTGGGGAAAGGGGTGAGGGGAATAAAAGGCTAGACAAACACCATATGGGCTGCGTAAACAAAATGGCACGACGGCAAGCGAAGGTGCCTCGGGTACTCCGGAGCTGGCGCTGGTAAACATTCAAGATAGCCAGCGTGGCCAGACCAAATAGGTGTGTGACGGTTAGTTCTAGTTCGAAGTGCTGAAACGCTTTGCGAAAGTGCTGCTCGGGAAGCCAGAGTGGCACGCACGAGCACAAGTGCTAAAGCGAAAGGAACTTTATTGGCGCCAAAAAATTTCCGGGTGGATAATTTCGATTGTCAGCAAAGCACCCTTGCACGATAAACACGGCCAGTGTTAGGAATCTCGGAGGCCAGGTGTGTTTCTCCGCTAACGATCAACGACTCCAAGCAACAGATGCCGCCACAGTAGACCGGCGCGCTCATTTATGGGATCGTAATCGCGTGTGACACAGTTGTGGTGGTTTCCACTGGAGGTCAATGGTGGTTTCCAACTTTCCGTCGCGTCAAAAAGTCCGGAAAATTGGACTCCGGGGGGTTCGACACGTCCGAAATTTCAGACTTCCTTATACATTGATTCTATGAGGCTCGTGGCAGTGCCGCAAAGATGTCCGAATTATCGGGCATGTCCGAAAATTTGGGTGTCCGAAAAATCGGCAGTTGACTGTATATACACTCGTGAAATCGTGGAACAGAACTGTGCAAGCAAGAAATGGTCACGAGCGAACAGATTACAAGAATACACGCAAAAATTTATACTCGCTATCAAATAAATCGACGCAGAGGTTCTGTGTAATGCTAAAGCAACCTGTTCCATCATGAATCCTGGTCTGCATCACAGGAGGTGTCCATAGGTGATGCCTTATATGCATCCTATTTCCCACTACGTCGGAAAGATAGCGAGTAGGCACGGTGTGCCGATAGTGTTTTTCGCCCCACGTAACCTGGCTGGGCTTTGTCCCAGCCAGGTTACGGTGAGAAAAAACTCTGCGATTGTGGGTCTGAAGTATGCAAAATATGTGAGGCATCGTCTGTGAAATAGCACTGTCATGTGGGAAATCTTACATAGGCCAAACGGCACACTGCGTGAATGATCATGCAAGGGAACATGAGCTTTCAATTAGAAGTAATGAAAATGCGCATTTGCCTGTGCATTGTCAAGAATGCATGTGCTCACTGATTTTTGGAAAGAATAAGCTATTGGGCAGGAGCAGTGATACCAGAGCCCGCAAACAGATGGAGGCCTTTGCATATCTGCGAGAGGCAATGATTGTGGTAGCAACACGTCTGTGTCTTTATTTGATAGTGAGAATAAGATTTTTGTGTGCCTTGTTGTAACATGTTTGTTTGTGACCATTTGACCACTTTTTGCTTGCACATGTCTGTTTCGCAAGTATGTATTTGAAGGATGATGAAAAATAAAAGTCAATTGAAAGTTTGTGCCTGTCCCTGTTTTTATTTGTGCACACCAGTTTACCTTGAAGTATAAACCGACTCGTCCAGCTGCCAGTTTTATTAGTGCATCACAGTTTTAACAGAAATGGCGTAGAACAGATTCATTGGGTACAGTTGTGGCTTGCATGGGGCCCCTATAAGTGCTGTTATTTTTTGTATGAACAGAAATAAGCAGTGCTAAGCTTTAAAAGAGCCATTCTCAAATTAAATACAAAGATTTTCATTTGAACTTCCAACTGTTTCAACACCTCTCTTTTTATTTTTATTTACCATCCAGCTTTCTTTCCTTTTCTTTCTTTTTTTGTCAGAAGCTTGTTTATAAAATTTATTCTGCAAGTTAAATGTAAAACCACAAAGAGCTCTGATTTTCAGGAAACATGTGCATTCACTGTGCTATTAAGTACAGTAGTTCGTGGTGGTACAAATACCAAAAACGAGCAGAATTCATATCACAATCGCCTCTGAGATCTGGCTGCACTGACTGCCTGCTATGCTGGCATTCAAATTTTGGATGCCATATACAGCCTGCCTCATTAGGCTGAATTCTAAATGCACAAATGAATTGCAGAATCAACCCTGAATTGTCAAAAAATGCCTGGCTCTTGAAGCATCAGTGCTAAAAGGTCAAAGGAGTTACAGTCGACTCTCGTTAATTCAGACTCGAAGGGACCTCTGAATTTTGTTTGAATATTGAGAAGTTCTCAGATAGATGACTCTGGGTGAGGTGACACTGCACATTATAATTACACGGCTTTGATTTTATCACATCTAAATATTTTTTAAAGTGTTTTTAAACCCTAATTGCATGCAATGAATGGAAAGCACACGAGTAAGTTCCACAAGTTTATTGCCGATTTACTGCTGATCAGACCTTCTAAACAAATTGTGAATTGCCAACTGCTTCGTTGCTATAGGTATGTGCCTTCAGCATAAAGCTGTCTATACGATTTGAGAAGCATCACAATTTACCATGCGTGGGCTTCACTTCAAACATTTGTTTACTTGCAAAGCCTTGATCCTTGACGGCCTCAGGTGCTTATTTTTTATTGTTAGACTGTTGAGATTATATAGGCAAAGCACACGAATTTTTAAATACAGTGGGAAAGCAGCAGATATTCGGTATGGACCTGCAAACAGTATGAATTAACCAAATGATGGAGTTTCAATTAAGTGGTTTTTAAATACTTTGAAAGAATAGAGGGCCGACCAAAAAATTGAATTTTGTTTGAATTAACTGAAAGTATGAATTATTAGAGTTTGAATTATCGTGAGTCTACTGTACGTAGAATTAATTTTTAAGGATAAATACACTATCGCATCATGATTGTCTGAAGTTTCGTTTGTTTTGTTTCATCACATGTTTGTATCATTAGTCATCTGGGTGCTTTCTGTGACCAGATAGGCTGTGTAGCAGTGGCCCATGGAGCTGTTAATTGTGTGGGTACACCTTTTATGTATCCTTCATTGTAAGTGATGGCCTGGCAGAAATGTAATTTAAACATTTTTGTGTCTGCATTGTGCTATGTGAAGAACTGAGACTGGTATAAGCAGCTGTTTCAGAAAAGTCACTGACTTTTTTGTCCTTAGAATTCACACAGAAGCGGAATTTTGTAGTACATTTTGTTTATTAGCGTGTTTGAAAGTAATATTTGCTGACTTTCTCCAGAGAAAATTGTAACTCTGCATATGTTGTAAGGATGCAATTTGTATATATACTCTTCGCAGCAGAATTATGTCATCTCCATCACTGCTACAATAAAATGCACTCATTGAGTTTGCTATAATCACATTGCAGTTGCAATAAATTTAGCTTTTGGTTTGATGTTACAAAACATGGTCTGTACACATAGTTATTTAATTTGGATGCAATACGTGCACCATCTAACCCAACTACAATGCTAACAAGGTAGTGGCTTTGCTGGAAGTTTATGCATTTTTTTTCTTAATTACTGTTTTGATTTGTTGCTTTCTGTGATTAAAAGAAAGGCCTCTTTATTCAGGTGCCCGGGTACAAATGTTCAAGCTTGGTTTTCCATATAATGTAAGTTCCTTCAAACTGTGCCTACAAAATCTTGTTCTTTTCGATGTTAATTTTTTAAAAAAAGAAGTCTCGAATTTTGAAGCGTGCTGCAATGAAATGGCATAATTTTTGTGTTATTACAACTGTTAGTATTCTTCTTTTGTGAAACTGCAAAAGAGTCTAGTTATTGTGCACCTTGTCGCCTTTTAACAAACCAGGAATATTTCATGTGAGGTCTCCTAATGGTAATTTTCTATTCCTTGCATCAAATAAGGTATGCGTAACAGTTTTAAATGTGAAGGAAAGTAGAGTAACCTGTGGTAAAATGAAAACAGTGGAAAGAAAAGTGCACATCATCACTTTGAAAATGTGTCTAGTATTATATTTGATGCTGTATACTTTATTAAATTTAAATGTGTGTAATGTTACATGTGACTCGGGTACAAATTTTAGTACATTCTGTCAGTTGCGGTTGCCATGACAACAGCTTATCACATAGCTAAGAAACTTAAATTTGGGCAGATTACTCCAAGAACTTTGCACCCATGGAAGACCGGCCATTCAGTTGTGTTTTTTTTTTAAACGATGCAGGTTTGTTAATAAAAATGCCAGGATAGTAAGGTTCGTGTAATTTTCACTTACAAACTCTACATCAAGGTAGAAATCCTTGCCGCAGCTTAAATGAGACTGATTTAACTAATTTAACAAAAGCTCCTGACTTAGAAGCTTTTAATTATTTACTCGAGGGTATTTGTTTACAATAGAAAATCGTAGTACATCACAATTTATCGCATACTTGTTTTTTAGGAATAACTGAAGTAGCACTAAATAAAGATATTTATTACCAAATTTTAAAGGTCATATCAAAACTAATCATGCCTGGTGCACAGAAGACTGTTGATGTTCAATTGAAACTGCCCGTGACAAAGAAGTGGTGAAATTTGAATGAAAGCCTGTGCCAAGTGCCAAGTCATTCACTTGGCACAGGTAGTTCCAGCTTGATGTGACAGAGAGGCTGTGCTTACTGCGTGCCAGACACAGTCAGTTTCGGTATCACCCTTAAAAATTGATGATTAATATTTTGAATTGTGTGCAACTTTTGTGATCTCTAAGAAATGGGTAGGCCATAAATTGGCATGCGCTACAACTTTCTGATAAAACTGTTCTAACGTCAGTGATTTGAAATTAATAAGGACATTTTTGTAATTAGTTGCATAAGCTTTATGTTAGTTTCAGCAAAGGATTTCCACCTCAAAATAGTTGGTATGTGAAAATTACAGTAATCTGACTGTCAGACAGAACAACACCCTGCTGGCTTCATTGTCCAAGTCCGTGATAAAACTTTCATTAAAATATTTATTGTCTTAAAAAGGATGCCCCATATAAAACAAATTGAGGAATGAGGTGCGTAATTGCTAATCCAGCATACTGATGCAGCCACTTCTCTTTCCCAGTGACAGGAGTGGCACAGCTGCGCCATTTGCCCCACTGTGCACCAAACTTGTTTACGTGCACCATCCTGCGCCGAACCACCCTTGCTGCGGCATACTCTCATTCTCAGCGCCGTACTGCGCCGCAGCAGCAGAATTTAGCCACAAGATGCAAAAGCTATCAGGCGTCATGCCAGAAAACGGGGCCCAAAACATCATCTTTTTGGTTTCATCTGAAAGTTTTGGTTGCGAAAAGGCTGTGATCTTTTTAGCAGCAACCATGAACTTTGATTTTAAGGACGCGGTCGCGATCATGGCAGGCGTCGGCATGAATGGCTTGTGAACCCTCTACGTGCTCTACGGGCTACGCTCTAAACTGGAAGTGACTGTGAGAAAAGCATTTTTCCCTGGCGTGGCTGTTCTCTCTTGCACCACTGTTTTCTAGGGTTACATGATATTGGATCTAAAAGTTGGCTGCTAGCGCTACAATTTGTTGCTATCACATTCATTATTTCCCCCTTAAAGTTAAACTGTCTTTTTTATAACCTGATGACAGCGTTAAAAAAAATAATGAGAGTAACATTGCTCTAAAGAAGTGGAGGTGGTGTCCGGTTCCCGGAACAGCCTAGTGAAGACAGGTGCACATGACTGCTCAAGAGCGCATGCTCGTATTCTCGCTCATTTGGCCGCTCTCAATCGTCGACTGCGCATTTAACGCTTGCGCGTTCATGTTTTAAAAAATGGGTGGCTGTACATGACTGAAGATGTCACAGTTGCACGGCAAGGGCAACACAGTGAATGCGATAGAAGCAAATTGTAATGTTATATGAAGTGAGGCTGGCAACTAACAGTTTTGGATCCGATTTTGCGTAACTGTGATAAATGCTGGCATATGAGAATGCGGCCACCTGAAGGAGATCAACACATTTCAGACAGTCTTTTTACGATGAGAGTGCAGCATGAAAAAGTGTATGCGAGCTGCCTGCTGAAGCTGCCGAGCTAGCGTGTGTGCCAACCATCGCGATCACGTTACAAAACATGACAGCAACTGCAAAAACCCGTCGAAAGTGTCCGTATGGTTTCTATCGCAATAATGAGACAGTCGCACAATTTAGCTAAGTATTCGAAAAATGTAGCATTGAACAAATGTTGCTTGAATATTGCTTTGAACAGGGCTACCGCTGCTCTGAGTGTTCTAGCTCTAAACTTGCTCGAAAAGGCCCTCCTGGCTTTTCCAAGCTTGCTCTCAAACATCTTTCTGGCTGCTCCAAGCCTGCTACAAAAATCACATTGGCCTGCTCTCAGGACTGCTCCCGAAACCATCTACCCTGTTCCACCCACTGCAATGAGTAAGCAGAATGACGTGACTCATAAATTGTAAAAAAAAAAAGAGAAATTATTTGATTTACAGCTACATGCCACATTCAGTGCACGCCATGGTTGGACATCTACTCTAGCCTAGCATTCAAAAACATCATGCTAGAAAATTGTCTGGCCTGCTTCCTATTGCCAAGTACTTTTTCTGCGTTTTAAAATTGGTGCCATGAAAGGCGAAAAAAGATGTGAAATGTGCACAAAACAGGCAAAGGCATACACATGATTTGCATGTTTTCTCACCTTTAGCACCACAGATTTCAAACACAGAAAACTAATTAGGGATGATATTTTTGAATGCAATGTACATTGTGATCTGAAAAAAATTTTTAGTTATGCAACCTATTGCAATTGTCTTGGCAATTAATGTTTGAACAGGTTATCAAATGTTGACCAAAAATGATCAATGTGTGTGTGTGTGTGTGTGTGTGTGTGTGTGTCTATATACACACACACCCACACACACACACATGTGCGTGTGTGTGTGTGTCTGTGCACCCAATAGCAACCATATTGGTCATCTTTCTTTGCAAAGTAATTCAATTCAGTTCTATAGAGTTCCTCAAGGTAGCGGAAGGGTAAGGTCATATCTTTGCAACATTTTAAAGTTTGGCTCAAGTTACTTGAGGCACACCGTATTTGCTGGTGCAATATACATAGCCGGTAGTGTAACAGGCAGAGCGGCTTTTTTCTTGCATCCCTGTATTTCATTAGTATTCATTGGAAGATTAGTTTTATAAATACTGAAAGGCAGAGTTAGCCTTTTCCATGGTTAAAATTGAAAGAACAAATTGCCTCAAACAGGTTTTCTTTTCTCTTCAGCAGACACAGTCATTGACTGAATTGTCTTTAATGTGCAGATGAATACGTTGCAGTGGGATGATCAACACAAGGTGAACACCAAGAAGTGCTATTGTTATTGTGGAGGACCGGGCCAGTGAGTATGCTTGTCTTCTAATAGAGCTGGTTGCCTTGTGCTCGAGGTGTTTTTTTGCAGTTTGCATCATTGATTGGCAGAGTTGATCACATTTCCCTTGGCACACGCAGCGTGAAGGAATGATGGGCTTTGTAAATGTAGCATCGTTTCCCACTACTATTCATAGGGTGTATGCAGCTTTGTTTCCGAGAATTCTCTTCTGATTGAAAGGTTTATGACATACAAGGAAAAATAATCAGCGTCATGTAAATTTTATGTTAACAGAGCAAATAAAGCTTGTCACTACAGTGTAGACCGCTTATAACGTAAGTCACGGGAGTTCTAAAAATCCGCCCCTGCAGGGGCGCCTGCGCAAGTAGGCGTTTGGTGTGTAGCGACACCACGGACCCGAGCTAACGGGGGAGTTTCTACTCCCTCCCACGCCTAGCCGTGTGTGGCTTTGCCGTGTCCGGGGAAAAGGGGATCCTGGGGGTTGAGCTGACGCTGGGTGATTGGACCTTTAAGGCCCCCCGGCAGAGGCAACGCACCCCTTTGGCCCTGGCTTCACGTAGACGGCACCCCCGGATTGACCCGCCCGGGGGGAATCGGCAGTCGCCTTTTCCTGTCTCCCCCTCACATCTTCGTCTTTTCTCTTACTTCAAATCTTTCCTGTCCTCTACTCTTTTCCGTTGACTTCCGTGTTTCCTGGCGGCAAGGGTTAACCCTGTGTGGCTATCCTACCTTGGATACACCATATTCGGTTATAGTGGTGGTGTACAGCTGGCGTCTGCAGGTCCTGTGCTTACAGACCCTGCAGCGTCCCCTTGTAGGACTCCATGGTGGGTGGCTCGCGCCGCTGCCGAAAATAAACCTTTTCTTATGGATAGTTCCTTCCCCCCACTCCCTGATCGCCCTCAGAAAAGAGGGCGCACCGATGAAGTATTCCAGTTTTTTAGTCACCAGAGAGTATCCTTTCCCCGATTCCACGTTATCCACGCTGACACACCCGGCAAATCAGTGAGAATAATTTCACCTTTTCTTGTTTGAAAGTCTTTGACAGAAATCTTTGGCCCAGGATATAAAGCATCGAGAATGGCAAGTGGTGACCTCCTGTTGGAGCTCCGCGACCAGAAACAGTATGAAAAATTGTTTAATCTAGTGAAATTCGGAGATACCAAATTAATAGTAGCCCCACACCGAACCATGAACACCAGCCGTGGCGTTGTTTCAGATGATGACCTGTTAGGGCTTACGGAGGCTGAACTCCTGGAGAGTTTTAGCGAACAGAATGTCATCAACGTGAAGCGAATTAGGATGAGGCGTGATGGCAAAGAAATCCAGACTAAGCACCTGATACTCACCTTCAATTCAAGTCTACTGCCCGACTCCGTTGAGGCTGGGTATATCAGGCTTCAAGTGAGGCCATATATACCAAACCCTCTCCGATGTTTCAAATGCCAGCGGTTCGGCCACAGTTCACTGAACTGCCGAGGCCGCCTAACTTGCGCGAAATGCAGTGCTGAAGAACACACATCAGATGCCTGTGAAAACTCTCTTCACTGTGCGAACTGTAATGGGGAGCATGCCGCGTACTCGCGGTCATGCCCATGCTGGAAAAAAGAAAAGGAAATTGTCACAATTAAAGTAAAACAAAACATTTCATTTAGGGAGGCACGAAGGCAGGTGTCTTGCCTACCAGAAACCAGCTTTGCCGAAGTGGCGCGTCAGGGGGCAGCGCCACGACGGCCCCCGGCACCTGTCTGGCACACGCGTAGTGAGCCAGCGCTGACGCCATCCGCCCCCTCGGCGGTTGCAGCCAGTGCTGCTCCGCCATCCAAGAAAGACTCACCAACCTCCGGGCTGGAGGCCGCGAAGGTCTCGTCTTTTGAGGCGAGGCCCTCAATACAAATGCAGCGCTCGCAAGAGCGCGTGTCCAGCGCCTCGCAAGAGGCAATGGAAACAACACCGAGCATGAGGGCGCAGCCAGCGCCTAAGGATCGGCGCGACTCCGTCGACCGATCCAAAAAGAAAAATCTCGTGTCATGGCCCCTGGAAAGGGTCCGTGAGCTAACTTTCTATCCTTGAGCACACAGCACAAAACACATCTAAAATGGATACACAGATTTTACAGTGGAATGTGAGAGGACTTCTCCATAACCTGGATGATATTAAAGAACTTCTTAATAAACATACTCCAAAGGTGCTGTGTGTTCAGGAAACACATCTCAAGTCCACACAAACCAACTTTCTAAAGCATTATGCCATCTTCCGCAAAGACCGTGACGACGCTGCCGCTTCGTTGGGCGGTGTCGCTATAATAGTTGATAAAGGTGTTGCCTGTAAGCAATTAAACCTCCGAACTTCTCTTGAGGCAGTTGCTGTCCGAGCAGTGCTGTTCGGGAAGCTACCAACAATTACCTCTATTTACATTTCCCCGTGCTATCAACTTTCAAAGACACAATTTCAAAGCTTCATTGATGAACTTCCTCCGCCATATATAGTCGTTGGTGATCTAAATGCACATAATCTCCTATGGGGCGACTTCCGTTTAGATGCGCGAGGACGCCTAATAGAACACTTTCTGTTTTCGTCAGGTGCATGTCTACTAAACAAAAAAGAACCAACGTATTATAGCACTACACACAACACATACTCTTCTATAGACCTGAGTGTGAGGAAAGGACTTAAAGACGCCGAGGAACGGCAAACCAAAACGGAAGAAGACGAGCGGAGGGCAGGTGGCACGAAGGCGACAACAAGAAATGAAGAAGAGAAGAAGAAGGCACGTGCGATTACGAGGCAACTGTGCGCCAATCAGCTGATGACCAGTGGTGGCCCATAGAGGTGGCGTGCCACGATTGGGCCACGTGCGACCATTACGTGGCAGTAGGCTGATTGGCTGGGGACGAGCCGGAGCAGCGACAGACGGGAGACAGCGGGCCGAAGCGTCGGACGCAGGCGATCCAGGTTCCGGCCAGGGAACGCGGCTGTCCACGCTACTGTCGTCCAACTACCAGCTGGGGCGGCATTGCCGGCACGAGTACTGCATCTCGGGGCGCGGCCTGGCCTGCTGTTCTCTTCCTTGCCGAGGGCATCGCGGATCTCGGCGAGGCGTCTCCGCGGTCAGCCGTTCAACACAGCGATGAACGTGGCCTGGCTAATGGTCACGGTTGCGTCGAGCATCGCGTCTCGGCGCACGCTCTTCGCTGGCCATTCCCCGCATGGAGCATCGCATCTTCGATGCGGGTTGACTGCTCAGTAGTCGCACCCATGCCATCAAGCGCCGGTGTCACCAGAGCGTCGCACTTCGGCAAGGGACGAGCGAGATGTTCTGCCGGGCGAGACGCGGGCGTGTGTACGGAGGACCATGGAGCCGGGCGAGGATTCAGAGTGGCCGAGGATTCAGATGCCAGGGGAGTTGCTGGCTGAATCGAGGATCACCGAGCGGTGCCGAGCCGTACCGAGCGACGCGCCAGCCTCGGAAGTGGGCCACGAGCTCACGAGCTGTGCACTCGAGGGTACCTGGCTGTGCCCTGGCCAAAGAGAGGAACGCCGGTGAGTGAGCTGCCGCTCTGCAGCTGTAGCGAGCAGCATTTCAGCACGGCACAGACGGTGCTGTGCTGGCCAGAACCCGCACGTGGAACCGCTACGCCCGGGCGGTGATCAAGAGCTTGGAAACGAGGTCAGAGGTCACGCTGGTCCAGGCATCTCCGCCACCGCAGCTGGAGGGTTGAGGCCAGGAAGGCAGAGGAGCGGTGCGCCGCTCGAGAGGACGAGTGCCTGGGAGCGTTCCTGAGCCGGACGTGGGACCCGTACGTGTCGGCCAGGTCGAGCTCCGGTGTGTCCGGTCGAGGTCGAGTCCGTCGGCCTGTACAAGGTGCAAGGACGGGGCCTGCTGAACGGCTCCTGCCTGGGTGCAGTGGCCGGGAGCGGGTTCGTGGGCGAGGCCTACCGGGCGTGGTCCTCGGGAGCCGTGGCCTGACCCTGGACCTTATGAGTTGCGACCCTGACTGCTGGGTTGGTCGCGACGTCCGATTCAGCGGCGCTGCACACGGTAGCGCATCCGTGTGCGGTCAGCCGTTCCAGCCGTGCCACCTTTCCCCTCGCGCACGTCGACGACCGCATCATGTCGGGACGATGGGGACCCAAACTGCGACGTTCCCATTCCTGGACCAGGAAGTGCACAAGACCGAAAAGAACAAGGTGTGCCTGTACAAGTAGGTGTTTCCGCCGCACCTGCCGCACCCGACGCTGGCCTTCATCGGGCTGCTGCAGCTGCTTGGGGGCGCGTTCCCCGCGCAGGAGGCGCAGAGCCATTGGTTCGCGCAGCTCATCAATAAGAAAGTGTCACTTCCTTCTCTAGTGTGCAATATAAAGCTTCTTTTGGTCGCATCAATTGTTGATGTTAATCCTTTTTCGTCCGCTGTCATATGGTGGTTTTGGGACGTTAAACCCCACAAATCAATTTTTCGTCCGCTATCGACAAACATAGTGACGAACGTCCTTTAACCACTACACTGAGTATTGTCTCGAGTGCTATAATTCCATATCTGGAGTGGTTCGTTCTCAAGAACCCTTTTGGGAGTGACCACTTCCCAATTATGTTAATGTTAACAAAAGAAGATACATGCTCGCCTGACTTTCCTCGCTGGAACACCAAGTTAGCCAACTGGGAACTGTTTCGAGAAATTACATTTTTAGACGGAGATGAGATTGCTGATTTTACTATAGACGATGGTGTAGCATACCTAACAGGTTTTATTATTGACGCTGCAGGGAAATGTATCAAGCAAACCAAGGGAATGACCAATAAACGTCGCATTTCATGGTGGAATGACGATTGTTGGAAAGCGCGCAATAGATAAAATAAAGCTTGGAGACTACTCCGAAATTACCCAACGGCTGAAAACCTCAACAATTTCAAACAGGTTAAGTCCCAAGCCAGAAGAACCCGTCGTCTTGCAAAGAAAGAAAGTTGGAATAGATACATCTCCGGTATAAATTCTTACACCGACGAAAGG